AACATACGTGGCCGGAAGGCCACTTTTATTGGCTTGCTGGCCACTACTTCTGGACTACCGGCCACTTTTGTCAACCAGACAGTGTACTGTTTCAACAAAACAGTGCAAAGGCATTCTCAATGAGGGGCAAATCATGTGCATGCATAAGTCATTCCTCGCTCCACGGGGCCTGTTAGATTTGTGTAATTGTAATTAATTAGTATGTTGCAATTATTTAATTAGCCAGAGTAACTAGTTAACTTGGTGTTGTAACTAATTAGATAGATTATTTAGTTAAATTTGTGTTGTATTATTTAATTAGCTAGAGTAGTTAGTTAAATTTGGTGTTGTAATAGTTAGTTAATTTGTAGTAATCAGCTAGGACATTCATTCGGACCCTCCTGCACGAGGCAAACATGTAATAATGTGTATGTCTTCCAATCCAACGTCTTTCTCCCTTTTATTTACTTGCTTATAATGGGTAGTTTAGAACATCATGTTTCTTTTAGCATTGCCCATGTTTGCATTCACTTGTCTTGCATGCATTGAGGCTTGATTCATCATTCTAAACAAAGCATTGTAGTTTACATACTTCATTGAATACGTGTTTAAACCGCATGCTGTCAAGTTGTTTCAAATGACATAACTAGTAGCCGAACTTATTAGTTACATATCGCATGTGTTGCATTGGTCATATAGCAATAGTTAGGAACTTCCATTTTTCTAATTATTTTGCTTTGTTTGGTTTGCCTTGGAGTACTAGATGAGCTTTTATTTGCTTTATCATATTGCGTAAGTGTGATTGCTACCATGTCAAGCATGATTAGCATAAGGCTAATTGCTTAATCGATATACTTGCTTGAATGCTTATGGATGAAGGTTAATTGCTTGAATTGGAATAATTTGAGTAATGTACATATGAGATCGCTTTTTCAAGTGGTACATATTCGAAACAATTTTCAAAACAAACATAAATCAGAATGTTCCATTTTTTACAAATTAGTCTATACTTGTGTGCGTCACATAGTAATGTTAGCCTAATAATCGGAACAAGAGCATATAAGGTAAGTAAGAATCACATCATGATTAGTATATGTCGATCTTTGATCGGGCGAGTAGGGTGCTCAATTCATGACCTTCTTCTCGTACCTAAGTTCCCTAACCGAGACACTGTTGGTGATGACGGATAAGTGGCATTTGGCACAAGTCCCGGGGTTTCCTAAGTTTTCCAAAAAATGTTTAGGTGGCAACTCTGTATTTAGCAAAGCAGTCCACTTTTGGTATTTTGATTCAAAATCGATTTTCCAAAAGATTTGTCGGATTTGGACTCTTTTGTGTTTATCTATTTCACATTGCACTTGTGAAATCAGATTCAAAACCACGGGAGTCCGAACTGTGGGGATAGTCATATCTGAAAGGAGTACAAAAAGTCGAGCCACACTCCTCCTGCTACTGCAGCAACTGCTATGGCTGACATAAACATTGGAGCTTTCTTAAGCGAAATCTAGTTGTCCAGAATACCGCGGAGATGTTAGAATTCCATATCCTTTTAGAATAGGTGCCAATTGTTACTTAGATTAATGGTTCTCCATAGGGTTCAAGAACTCAAACAGCAGCAACAACGGAGTCGCACCTTACTTAATAAAGATCGATCTTGAGGTGCTGGAAATTTCATTGAATGGAAGCTACCTTCGATTCAACAATCCAGTAACATCTCCCAACTGCCCCATCAACAACAATGTAAACTCAACTTCAAGCATTGACTTGAGATTTAGCCCTTTTTCGCATCGCAGAAACAACCAATGTATTCCTGGCCACGGGCGTGAATAGCAACAACTAGGAGGCCATATTGACTGATCCGGACAACAAAAGGATTACCAATTGCTTGTCTACTTGCGATCTCATTAATAATATTAATATTAGCTCCTGCGTTGTTGAAATCTCATTGTATGTGCAGTACCTGCAGAGCTACAAGGTGAATTTGTGAAGCAGAAACAACAATACTCAGAGTGGAGGTGGAGTCATCCAAACATCATGTGTATATGCGTTCTTGGTAGATGCCCAAACATAAGTGCTGATTAGTGTGAACAAGGGTTTTGGTGAGGTTATCCAAACTCATGTCCCTGCTGTTCTCAAATGGGTAGTCTAGTACAATACCACACAGCTCAGATTGGTTCCCGACAACTACAAAATTAGCTACTCCTGTCTTCCATGGTCGCTTGCATATTATTCTTTCTTAGACGGCAAATGTGTTGTTGTTTAAAGCCTCCAGTGCATTTGCAATTACAACCCTGGCCCATGATTAACTGTTAAACCATGATTAAGCCATAATTAAAGATGCATATTAAGTAATTAAGATGAAATTCTAAATTAATTGCATGTGTGTTGCACTCTTTGTGTTTATATCTGTTCGTGATAGGAATATCTATTTATATTTTTGTTTTGTTCTGCAAATTGAAGGCCTTATCGGCATCTGATCACGAAATTGACTTGGTTTATGTGTTATTTGAAATTTTTAGAACATCATGATAGGTTCAATTGAAATTCGATTCTGAACGAAATAATTAAAATAAATAATGTTCAATTAAGCATAATTAATGAATTCCCTAATCAAGCCTATATAAGGCCAATAATTGACTCTAGGATAGGAGATACATATTCATTTCCTCATCTTTAGAGCCTACAAAAACGTGTGAGAAAGAGAGACCAAGAGAGAGAGCCTTGAGATCAACAAGAGAAAAGGGAATTACAAGCTAATTGTGGAGAAATTGGAGGAACCAAGCTAGATTTGCTAAGATTCAAAGGAATTGAGAACTTTAGGTAAGATTTTTCCTCCTTTAGCTTACATTTGACTCACCCATGCAAGAACTCAAGAGAATTTAGTTGTATAATGTGAAGATTGAGCTAGAATGGATGAACTTGGGCCATAGCATGCATGCATGCACATTTTCTTACATTTTGAGGTTAATTGTGAGGAATCTTACATGCATGTACAACTTTTACTGTAGTTTTAAGAATCCATCTTGTTTTGCATCATTTTATACCAAATGATCATGTTTTGGAAGCTTTGGAGCCAACCCATTTCATGCATGTTATGTTTTCAAATAATTGAGTTTTGTTTTGCACAATTGGCAAGCTTTTGGGCCTTGATTTTACAAATTGATTTTTGAATTCCCAATGTTTTACTAGTTTACATATGTTTCCTCAAGTTTTGGGCCCAAAAGGATGTGAATTGTAGCTTTGAATTTGAGTTTTGGACTTAGAAGTGCAATCTGAAAATTTCAGAATTCGACCTATTCGCTTGAGCAACCACCTTTGTTTTTACACCCCCGCTCGAGCCACCAAAAGCAGGCTCGAGCGTAAATTGCATGCCCCCAGAAGTTTACATGTTTTGCAGACCGCTCGAGCGACAAGATTTGCACTAGAGCAAAGGCCTCAGTCTCAGGCTCGAGCGACCATCGAGCTTGCGTCGAGCGGAAAAATCAAGCAACCAGTACTTTTTTGCAAACTTTACAAACCGCCCAAGCGCAGGAAGTTGCGATCACTCACATGTTTAGACGTCCAATCGAGCGAAAGAAGTTGCATTCGAGCGAGACCCCTGTTTTTAGCATATTTGACTAACTGTTCTCAAGTGCATTTTGGCATCCTCATTCCATCCTAGGCATTTCTAGACCAAGATTAAGACATAATAAAAGGTTAAGACTTAGAAACACAATAAGAACGAAATGAAATGAGTTACATATTATTTGGGTGTGTGTTTCAATATGTGTATATGTTATGTTTATGTAGGTCACGCGTCGTAAGCCATTTGATTAGTCTGCTCTGTCTGTCTGTCTCCGGAGCCATCTGTGAGTAATAACTCCATAAATGTATGTTTAACTTTAATTATTTTATGATGATATGAAATGATCAGTTTTCTGAAATGTTATGTTTTGTATGAATGAATGACTGTCCAAGTTTCTGAAATGTACTCGCGCCATCCATAGCATCATTTGATATTTTGCGTCCTTTTATGGATCATCAGGTCCTTTCATGGGTCATCAGAATGCCTTTAGGGCCATCCCTTCATGGGTCATCGGAATGCCTTTATGGCCGTCCCTTTATGGGTCATCGAAAATGTCTCTGTGCACATGAGTCATTGGAATGCCTTTATGGTCGTCCCTTTATGGGTCATCCGAATGCCTTCATGGTTGTCCCGTTATGGGTCATTAGATTTGTTTACGCTAAAGGATGAACCACGTACTATCATGTGAAATGTATGATCTTTGAATACAAATATGTCTATGTATCTAAATCTGTTTTTGATTTGAAATTTGATTAAGTGTAAGATCTAATATAAACATCATTCATGGAAACCCTTTACTTTGTTATTATTCATTGGGCTTCCGCTCACTGTTTATATTATGTATGTAGATGAGCAGGCACGTGACAAGGCCTAAGCTGCTGCCTGGAGAGTTTTGTTTTGTCAACCAGCTACTATGCCTGGGGAGGTTCCCGTTTGAGAAGTCAAGTTTTCTAAATTATGTGAAGGATGTTTTTGTTTGTTTTTGTCCAACTGCTCATTGCGCTAAGTTCTTTATGGCTCTATCTATACAATTATACATGATGTGTGGAAGTTTGACATTACATATATATAAGTTTAAATTTTATGTCCCATGTATGTCTACACAGCTCTATAGACATTGTATTTTGTGTATTTACTCCCGCGGCCCCTTATATTTTGTTACTTTGTTCAGAGGCCATTAGTTATCCCAGAATTACTGGCCGGTTACGGCGCTGAACCTGTAGGGGCGGGTTTGGGTCATGACAGAGTGGTATCAGAGCACGAGTTATACCGCACACACGAGTCCATATGAGCTATAGGACGTCCTAGAAAGAATTAGGGACATTTATCTACATATGGAAACTGACTCGGGAAAGATACATAAGAAATTGAAATAAATGAATTGAAACTGAATACTCTGAACTCTATGAACAAGACTATTCCTATCTTTATTATTGCCTTGTTTACATATAACAACATGGAAAATGCAAGAAGTAATGATGCAAGTGAATTTTTCGAGGCCCAAATAAGCCATATGGAACAAATGCTAGCAGCCTTAACAGAATCTTTGAGGCAACAACCTTTACCCCCACAACTTCCACCGGTACAAGTTGAACTGGATAACAATGACATCATCAATTTAACTCAGAAGTTCATGAAGATGAAAGCGCCGACTTTCTTGGGTGGTATTGAACCCTTAAAGGCAGAAACATGGCTGCTCAAAATAGAGAAACCGTTTGAAGTATTTCCTTGCTCTAAGACACAAAAAGTTATTTTGGCCACCTACACCCTAAAAGATCAAGCCCGAAGATGGTGGTTGTTAATCCGAAATAACAGTGGAAACATGACATGGACTCAATTCAACGAGATTTTCTACGACAAGTACTTTCCTCAGGGTTTCTGGGACCGAAGGGTGTCTGAATTCCAAGAAATGAAGCAAGGCAAGATGTCCGTAGCTGAATATGAGGCTAAGTTTACTGAGTTAGCCATATTTGCTCCTCACATGGTCGATATAGATTATAAAAAGGCTCGGATATTCGAATGGAGGTTGGATCTGGACATGTTTGACAGAGTAGGCGTTTTGAATGGCAGCAATAAAACAAGCCAAAGCACCAATAACAGAATGAAGAGGAAAGAGGTCGGGGAATAAGTTTAGAAAAGACAACTCCTTTGGAAGCAAGAAGCAAAACACAGGGTCCTACAGTAGCTTTAGTCAGAGTAGTGGGTCTATACCAGTTTGTCTGGATTGTGGAAGGAAACATAAGGGCGTCTGTTACCGAGCAAAGGGTGCCTGTTTCAGGTGTTGTAAAACTGGCAACATGATGAGAGATTGTCCAGTCAGGTCAGAGAATGCAAACCACCCTACAGTAAGTTCAGCTGGATTTGCTTCTGTGATGAGGACAAATGCAAGAACTAACTCCAAGGGTAATACTGAGAATGAAACGCTAAGGCAAGGGAAAGCGTTCGCATTGGTGCCTGGGGATGTACAGAATACTGAATCAGCTGTGTCAAGTATAATCTCTATCTATGCTCAGAATGCCTATGTGTTGATAGATTCTGGTTCAACACATTCATTTGTATCGCATGCTTTTTCTAGGAAATTAACTAGACCTTGTGTCAGGTATAATCTCTATCTATGCTCAGAATACCAATGTGTTGATATATTCTGGTTCTACACATTCATTTGTATCGCATGCTTTTTCTCGAAAATTAACTAGACCTTTAGAACCTATCACATGTTTGCTATATGTGTCTACACCGTCTAGAGGTTCTATGATATGTGCTTATGTTTATCCGGCATGTGATATTATGATTGGTGATATGACATTGTACGTTGTTTTGCTGCCTTTGAGCATTGATCATTTTGATTTTATACTGGGCATGGATTGGTTGATGAAGTATTGTACAACTATTGATTGTGTGAATAAAACTGTTGTGTTTTGATCACCGGGTGTGCCTGAGTTTGTATTCGTTGGGAATGGGGTAATTCCTCCATCGTATTTGATTTTTTTGTGAAAGCTCGAAAGTTGTTAAGAAAATGGTGCCGGGGTTATTTATGTTGCGTTTTGACTGTAACTTTTGAAAATTCTACTGTTGAGAACATCCTTGTAGTAAATGAATTTCCTAATGTATTTCCAAATGATTTACCCGGAGACTTAATTGATAGAGAAATTGAATTTACTATTGATGTTGTTCCTAGAACACAGCCAATTTCAAAAACCCCATACCGAATGTTAACTTCTGAATTGAAAGAATTGAAAACTCAACTACAAGACCTGTTAGACAAGAAATTTATCCGACCGAGCACTTCACCCTGGAATGCTCATGTTCTGTTTGTCAAAAAGAAAGATGGGTCTTTGAGGTTATATACTGATTATCGGGAATTAAACAAAGTAACTGTCAAGAACAAATATCCACTGCCTCAAATAGACGATTTATGTTACCAACTTTAGAGAGCCCAAGTCTTTTCAAAAATTGACCTTAGATCCGGATACCATCAATTGAAAATTAGGGCAGAAGACATAGAGAAAACTACATTCATAACTAGATATGGGCAATATGAATTTTTGGTAATGCCGTTTGGCGCGACTAATACACCTGCTGCCTTCATGGACCTTATGAACAGGGTGTTTAAATCATATCTGGTTGAATTTGTGGTTGTATTTATTGATGATATTTTGATTTACTTTAAAAGCAGGAAAGATCACGAAAATCATTTGAGAACTGCGTTACAGATTCTGAGAGAAAGGAAATTGTATGTAAAACTCTCCAAATGTGAATTTTGGCTTGACAGTGTGACCTTTCTAGGGCATGTGATCAACAAAGATGGCATATCAGTTGACCCACAGAAAATTGAAGCTATTGTGGAGTGGCCAAGACCAACCAATGTATCAGAACTCAGGAGCATTCTGGGGCTTGCTGGTTACTATCGTCGATTTGTAAAAGACTTTTCAAAACTTGCCATGCCATTAACACAATTGACACAGAAAAACATGCCATTTGATTGGACTGATAAGCGAGAATTAACCTTTCAAGAATTGAAGACTAGATTGATAACTGCACCTATTTTGACATTACCCAACTGAACTGATAGGTTTCAAATTTATAGTGATGCTTCTTATAAAGGTTTGGGATGTGTGCTAATTCAAAATGAGAAAGTGATTACTTATGCTTCTCCACAACTCCGCCCACATGAAAAGAATTACCCAATTCATGACCTTGAATTGGCAGCTGTGGTGTTTGCTTTGAAAATTTGGCGCCATTATCTATATGGAGTGACGTGTGAAGTGTATACAGATCATAAAAGTTTGAAATATTTCTTCACCCAAAAAGAACTAAACATGAGATAGAGAAGATGGTTGTAATTGATAAAGGACTATGATTTGCAGATTCAATATTATCCGGGGAAAACCAATACTGTTGCAGATGCTTTAAGTCAGAAGTCAATCGAGAATCTGTCATGTTTGCTCACCGGTCAGGAAGAGTTGTTGTGTGACTTAGAGAAGAATGAGATTGAAATTGTGTTGCATGAACAGGGCGAGATTCAGCTCAACCTGCAATCATTGAAGAGATTAGAGAGAAACAACTACAAGATGAATTCCAGAAAAAGATTGTGGATGAAATAGATTCAAAACCGAGGCCAGGATTTGTGTTGGAGAACAATGTGTTGAAATTTTAGAATAGACTTTGTCTACAGGAATGTTGTGATTTGAGGAAACGTGTTATGACTGAAGCCCACAACTCTAAATTTGTTATGCATCCGGGGAATACAAAGATGTACCATGATTTGAAGCAGAATTTCTGGTGGCCTGGATTGAAGAAAAGTATTGCTAACTATGTAACTAAATGCTTGCATTGACAACAAGTTAGAGCCGAACATCAACGACCCGCTGGATTGCTTTAGCCGCTTCCAATACCGGAATGGAAATGGGAGCACATTACCATGGATTTCATTGTGGGATTGCCACGCTCTTCTCGAGGTACGGATCCTATCTGGATCATATTGATCATTTGACTAAATCTGCTCATTTTCTGTCTGTGAAAATTTTTATAATGCGGACAAATTAGCTAACATTTATGTGAATAATATTGTGAGATGACACGGTGTGCCAATATCTATTGTATCTGACAGAGATTCGAAGTTCACGTCTAGATTCTGGCAGAGTTTACAACAAGCTTTGGGAACAGAACTACGACTGAGTAGTGCCTACCACCCCTAGACAGACGGCCAATCTGAACGGACCAATCAAACTTTGGAAGATATGTTATGGATGTGTATGTTGGACTTCCAAGGGAATTGGAAGACTTACCTTCTTCTGGCCGAGTTCGTATATAACAACAGTTATCATTCAAGTCTTGGAATGGCTCCTTATGAAGCTCTATACGATCGGAAGTGTCGATCTCCGATTTGTTGGGCTGAGGTTGGTGATAGGCCATTATTGGGGCCAGAACTTGTGCAAGAAACAACTGAAAAGGTGAAACTGATCCAACAACGTTTGAAAACTGCACAGAGTCACCAAAAGAGTTATGCAGATGTCCGGGGAAGAGACAGAGAATATGAGGTCAGAGATCATGTGTTCATAAAAGTGACTCCAATGAAAGGCCAGACACAGTTTGGTCTAAATGGCAAGCTAGCTCCGAGATATGTTGGGCCGTATGAAATTCTTGAAAAGATCAAGTCGATGACGTGTCAGGTAGCCTTACCGCCAGTTATGGAATACATGCACAATGTTTTTCATGTCTTAATGCTTCAGGACTATCTATGAGATACACTCCATGTGATTGAACCAACTCATGTACTTTTGAAAGATGACTATACGTACGAGGAGAGGCAAATACATATTGTTAACCACCGAATCAAAAGACTGAGGAACAAGGAAATCCCACTGGTAAAGGTTGATTGGCAAAACCACGGAGAGACCTATGCAACTTGGGAAACTGAAGAGGATATGATTAAAAGATATCCTGACTTGTTTCCGTTGGATCTGGTGTTCTTGCAAAACGAAGGTAATTCGAGTTTGGAGGACCAAACTCTTTACGGGGGGGAGACTGTGACAACCTCAACCTATGATTAACTGCCGAACCATGATTAAAGATACCTAATAAGTAATTAAGATAAAATTTTGAATTAATTGCATGTGTGTTGCACTCTTTGTGTTTCTATCTATTCGGGATAGGAATATATGTTTGTATTTCTGTTTGTTTTGCAAATTGAAGCCCTTATCAGCATCTGATCATGAAATTGACTTGATTTATGTATTATTTGGAATTTTTAGAACATCATGATAGGTTCAATTGAAATTCGATTCGGAACGAAATAATTAGAATAAATAATGCTCAATTAAACCTAATTAATGAATTCCCTAATCAAGCCTATATAAGGCCAATAATTGACTCTAGGATAAGAGATACACATTCATTTCCTCATCTTTAGAGCCTACAAAAACGTGTGAGAAAGAGAGACCGAGAGAGAGGGCCTTGAGATCAACAAGAGAAAACGGAATTACAAGCTACTTATGGAGAAATTGGAGGAACCAAGCTAAATTTACTAAGATTAAAAGGAATTGAGAACTTTAGGTAAGATTTTTCCTCCTTTAGCTTACATTTGACTCACCCATGCAAGAACTCAAGAGAATTTAGTTGTATAATGTGAAGATTGAGCTAGAATGGATGAACTTGGGCCATAACATGCATGCATGCACATTTTCTTACATTTTGAGGTTAATTGTGAGGAATTTTACATGCATGTACAACTTTTACTTTAGTTTTGAGAATCCATCTTTTTTTTGCATCATTTTATACCAAATGATCATGTTTTGGAAGCTTTGGAGCCAACCAATTTCATGCATGTTATTGTAAACGTCCCCGAGCGTCCCGGGAGGGAAATCCCCCCCGTTTTGTTCATTGGGCTCACTATAGTTCAGGACTCAATGTCACGGTCCTGTATCTAATCTCGCAGAGTGCAATGCAAGACCGATGAATCATCAAAGAGTCCAAATCCGGCAAATCGTTTTTGAAAACATATTTTTTTTTGAAAGAAGTGCCAAACATGGACTGCTTTGCTAGATACAAAGTCGCCACCTAAATATTTTATTTTGGGAAATTTAGGAAACCCTGACTTGTTGCCTAAGGCCATGTGTCCGTCATCAC